CTGTACCAAGTAATACATGCTAAAGGGATATTTTGCTGAAGTCAAGTCTTTATTGCTATTAGTGTCAATACTGTGGAATATGTTAAGCTTTCTGGGGCATGTTTCCAATTTACAGACCCACAGAGGTTAGAACTGGAAGGGGCCTCATAGATTGTCCTATTCAATGGTTCTCAAACTCGAACCTGTGGCAGAATCACCTGGAGGGCTCTAAAAAACACAGATTACTGGCCTTACTGGAATTTGATTTATTAGATTTTGGGGGAGGAGGGGCTGATAATTTGCATTTCTAATTTCCCAGGTGATGCTGATGCTGCTTCACTTTGAGAACTACCGATTTAGTTTAACTGCTTCTTTTTAACCAGAAAAGCTAAATGACTTGTTCCTATGATCTTAGGTAATTGGTCTAAATATATATTGCTTTTCGATAATAGCCACTTATCTTTGTACTGTAGTTTTTAAGGTAGATTAAGTTAGACCAATTCCAAAGCCTTTCACAATTTCTTTAAGTAGCTCAGATGTAAATTTGAGATTTTAATGCCTTGTGATTATAGGCCACACTTGGAATCGCTTAGTTGTTGCAGTCAATTCTGGACTCAAGTTCCTTTTACAATCCTCATTGTTAAAGTTTAGTTTTATTATCCATGAGGAATATGAACAGATCCTTTCTTATTATAATAGCAGCTAACATTTTTGGGCTTTGTGCCAGGCACTGTGCTGTATTCTTTATGTGCGTAATCTTGTTTTAATCCCTGTAATAACACTGTAAGGTAGTTTCTTACCCTCGATTTTTTTTTTTTCAGATGAGTAAACTGAGACCTTAGCCTGAGGTCACGTGGCTAGCAAGGGACAGAGTCAGGGTTTGAGCCCAGGTGGTCCGGCTCCAGAGCCCATGTTGTTAATCAGAATGCTATTCGGCATTGTACCTGAATAGTTTTTAAAAATATAACACCGGACTTAGAGAAATTTTATAAATAATTGTAGGTGTTATTTGTGTACTCCTTGGAGAAAATTAAATTAGTTTAGAAAGACTTCATTATTTTGAAAATGAGATATGATCTTTATCATCGTTTGGATCCATATCACTGACAACAAGTAGAGACATCATCCACTGATTTTGAATCATGTTGCAGTTTGCTGTGACATTCAGTTAGTTTTAAACTTCTTTTACATATTAGTAACATTACCTAAACTAAGAGTGGATCTATAGACTTACCTGTTAGAAAAAGGAAATAATAAATTCCTAAGTCTAATATTTCACTGTAAATATATGCTAAAACCATTTCACTAAGATGATCTGAAATATTCTGAGTTGCAGAAAAGTCTAGGATATAAACTACCACCTGGGAAAATCTGGCAATCATCTAAATGTACCTTTTCCATGGCATCATATTAAAGCCGTTAGAAACATCTATCAAGGGATACTTTTTCAATTCCAGGTTTGAAACTCTGTTAAAAAATCTATTCACTTGGGAAAAGAATCACCCGGGCAGAATACTCCATCCTTATTAACCTAAGGAATTTCCACCTGTGTTTTGGATCAGTCCTAAGGGGTCTTTCGGTAGTTTTACTTTGAACTATGCTTCCCTCCATGTTTTTGAATGCTTATGTGGCAATAGGGCTTAATTTTTCTGTCATGTAAACTGCCTTTTTACCTCCCCTGCAGCGGGTCGAGGCTGGGGCGTGTCTATCATCATGATGTTCGGGTCTCCCAGCATCGTGTTGGAACACTTTGCCACAAGCAAGCTGTGTGTTCTCTGAAGTGGTCACCAGATGGCAGGCTGCTTTCCAGTGGCTGTAGTGACGGACTGCTGACAGTGTGGGCCCACGATCCAGGTGCCAGTGCACAGGGCCAGCCACTGAAAGTCATACCCCAACCTACAGCAGTCAAGGTAAGAAACCCAACAGCTGTCCAGGCTTCCTTTTACTCAGAGGCCATTGAATATCTTTCACAAATAAAAAGAAAACAAGTAAGCCAATATTTTGAGATTTTTCATCCTCCAGAATTTGTTTTGGATTTTGTCATCACCGTCCTGAAAGAAAATCCTGTTTATATACTCCCCATCCGATGGATTTTTTGGTTGTAGATGACTGAAACTGAAGTCAAGCTTGAGTTTAAGCAAGAAATTAACTTATGTTTTCATGTAACTGGGGAATCCTGGGTACATACAGCTGGTTTCAAATATTGGCTGGATGCAGGGCCTTGAATAACGTCCTCTGAGCCCAACTCTTTAGCTCTTGGCTCTGCCTGTCTCTGTTTAGTTTCATTCTTCCTTCGGATTTCATTTTGTAGACAGAATGGCTCTTGGCAGCTTTGGATTTAGATTCTCTTAGATGGGGGCTGGATAAGAAGTCATCTTTCCTTATAACTCAGGTGGAAAAGTGCCAGGGAGATTCTGGTCTGCCTTTGGTCACATTCTGGTCTCTCAGTTGGTAGTTTCAGCCAGAGAGATGGCACACTGATGGGCCTGGGTCACAAGCTCACACCCAAAAAAGGAAGGGTGCTGTAGAGGTAGACCAGTGCTCCACTGTGCTCCACATAATTGTTTATTTTTCTGAATTTTGAATTCTTATTCCTAGTACAAAAATCCATACTTTCCTTCTTGGACACCTTGGTGTCACAGATGTGTGTCTTGACTTCGATGTAGTCTCAGAATATTTATCATTCATAGAAAAAACAAATGGTTCTACCTTGTAACTATAAGCAAGTTTACCATAGAGTTTGATAACATAGGGTGGAATATATAGTGATTGCTGCTACTACATAATGTCTGGCTTGTGGCTTTTAATGTCTATAGGACATTGAGAATGATGTTAGGTCCAAATTCCCATTATTCATGACTCAGAAAAAAAAACTAGGAAAAAAGTATGGAAAATTGTCTGCAAAAAAAAATACAAAAACATAACAAAGCAAAATAAAACAAACAGATGAAAAACTCAAGCCAAGCAAAACAAGTTACCTTCTTTTTATTTTTTATTTTTTTGAGACAGGGTCTTGCCCTGTTGTCTACACTAGAGTGTAGTGGCACAATCATAGTCACTGTAACTTTGAGCTCCTGGGCTCAAGTAATCCTCCTGTCTCAGCCTCCTGAGTAGCTGAGATTATAGCCATGCACTCCCATGCATGGCTGGTTTTAAAATTTCATATAAAGATGGGGTCTCACTATGTTGCCCAGGATGATCTTGAACTCTTGGACTCAAGAGATTATCCCACCTTGGCCTCCTGAGGTGCTGGGATTATAGGAGTGAGCCACCGTGCCTGGCCAAGTTGCCTTCTTAGATGCCTTGTTGTTAAAAATACAATTAATTGGCCGGGCGTAGTGGCCCACGCCTGTAATCCTAGCACTCTGGGAGGCCGAGGTGGGTGGATCATTTGAGCTCAGGAGTTCGAGACCAGCCTGAGCAAGAGCGAGACCCCATCTCTACCAAAAATAGAAAGAAATTAGTTGGACAACTAAAAATATATAGAAAAAATTAGCCGGGCATGGTGGCGCATGCCTGTAGTCCCAGCTACTCGGGAGTCTGAGGCAGGAGGATTGCTTGAGCCCAGGGGTTTGAGGTTGCTGTGAGCTGGGCTGATGCCACGGCACTCTAGCCCGGGCAACAGAGCGAGACTCTGTCTCAAAAAAAAAAAAAATACAATTAATTGAGTTACTAAATGAAAGTCTTCTTCACTAAGAGTCTCTGGAAACAGGAGCAAGTCAAGCCTCCTGTCAGCTAATACCTAGGGCGTCACATGAGCAGTCACTGGTTACATCTCTACATTCAGCACCAGTTAACTGACTGGAGTAGCAGGATAGGACTTTAGAGGTTGACGTCTGTGTGATTCTTCTCATGGTGTAACTTCTAGTTTTGTCAAAATAGCTTATTTATAGTAAAAGCTATTTGGAAGTAGGGTATTTAAGAAAATGATCATTAATAAACATAAAAAATATTGAAATCCATCATGTGGTAAAACTGCGGTCCATGGACTCAGAGAAATTTCTAAGCTTCCTGAAACTGTATGCAAAATTTTGTGTTTTGTGAAATAGTCCTTTTCTCTCACTCAGTCCGAAGTGTAGCTGAATGATTATTTAAAAAAGAGTAGGTAACTGTAAAGTGTGATACATATATAGTATTTTATTTTGACTGAAAATACTATATTTACTATATTCATTAGACTGTACATTCATTCACCATGTAGGTCCCAGGCCTTTACTTTGAATGTAGGTTGGCTGATTAGAGTTCTTCATTGTCTTTCTTGTATGAACAATAATCATATTTTATTGTTTGAAATTTCTGTTTATATTATGTGCTCTGGTTGTCTATTGCTGTGCAACAAATGACTCCAAAACTTAGTGGCTTGAAACAACCACCATTTTATTATCTTTTGTGGTTTCCCTGGGTCAGGACTTTGGGAAAGGCTCATCTGAGCAGTTCTGGCCCAAAGTCTCTCATGAGGTTGCAGTCAGACAGGGAGGGAAGCTAAAAGTGCTGAAGGCTGGACCAGTTGTTGGCCAGGCAGTCATGCTCCCCTCTTCGTGTAATTCTGGAGCTTTTCAACACTGTCTGGGCTTCCTCATAACATGGTCACCTTAAGCTGGTTGGAGTTTGTGCCTCAGGGCAATAGGTTCAGTGCTTCAGAGAGCAAGGCGAAAGTGGCATCACCTTTTATAACTTAATTTCAGAAGTCACTTTTGCTGTATTCTGTGGTTACAAGCTAGTCACAAGTCCTTGATTTCAAGGGAGGGGAATTGGATTCTGCCTATTGATGGAGGGAACAGGCAAGGTTTAGAAGGACGTGTTGGGTGGGAGATATTGTTACAGCTATCTGAGGAAAATACAGTCTGCTACAGAATCTTTAGAGTGAGAGCCTAAAGCCACTTATGAAGCAATCAGAGTGCATAGTCCTTATAAATTTTCATAAAAATTTCCTAGTTTTTGATAGTTAATTCAGCCATTTCTGATTCAACATTCTCTTTTCAGGAACTAGCCTTTATAAAGAGCTTCCAAAATATTCCAACTTAGTTTTCATAGAAATAACAGTTGTCTTTAAGCCCAAATAAAGTAGCTGATTTAATCAAATATTCATGTGTAATTTGATTGAATCACACAATTATAATAACAAGTTCATCTGTCATAAACAGGTTTGGTAAAACACATTGGGCTCAACAAACTTATAGCTTTGTTAGTGGGAGCAGAAGTTTGGAGCCTTCTAGAGAATAGACTCCCAGCACGTTATGGGTAGGAGTAAATATGTTTTACAGAAGGAACGGAGAACTTTAGTAAATATAGCAAGTTGGTAAAATGAAGACTGGTGAAGAGAGCATCTACTATATATTCATATGTGTGTTTTTAAAAGATGGACTTGAACTTGTAAGGAAAGTGTTAATGTATAGGTATTTTAATGGCAAAAAAATTAAACAATTTACATGGGGCAAGTGCTACAGAAAAAAATGCATAGGAAAAAATTCATTCATGCTGATAAGAAAATAAATGAAAAATAAACCACCCTTATCTGTTTTATAAGTATCATTATTTCACTAGATGCAAAATAACACTTTTAACTTCAAGTAACCTGTAGCCAGGATGAAATTAGTATACTCATTTAACGCTGGTGTTGTAAAATGTTATACCTGTTTGGAAAACTTTGTGTCAACTCTACTGAACCTTGGAATTTACTTTAAAAAATTTGTCAGAAACAAAAGATATATAGAATATATTCATTACAGTGTTCTTTATAGGAGCAAACAACAAATAAAACACAAAAATATAAAAAAACTCTATTCTCCAAAGAAATGAACCCAACGCAAACCAAACCAAAATAAAATAAAAAACCAACATGGGTCCAACATTAGGATAACAAAAATTAATCAGCATACAAAACCTTGATGGAATATTATAGGATTGTTAAAAATGACAATTATAAAAAGTATATTAAAAGATGGAAAACTATAATTGGTGAAAACAACAGAAAAATTAAATAGTAAAAGCACTATGTTTGCTACTTAATAAAATATTTTTACATGCAGAATATACAAAAATGAAGGTATTTACTAGGATGATTAAAGATATACAGATAAATATAACTGAAGTATTCGTTAAAATGTTCTTTAAAGTGATTGTTACTAGTCATTTCAATGATTACTATAAATGTGTGATACTAAATCCTATTTTTCAAAGTTAACCATAATTCTAAATAAATAAAAGGCAATTTTATTTTCTGCAACATATTAGGATTTGAAATGCATGAGACTTTGAGCTGTGAATAGTCATGTATGGCTCTCTTTTCTCTGACCACTACCTGGAACCTAAGAACACATGTAGACAAACAAAGGCTATATTCCAGAACCAGATTCTACAGGTACATGTGAGCTACTTCAGCAGCAGATTTTTACTCTATACGATGTGTTGCATGTAGTTTTCGACTATCTTATTACATAATCTTTTTATGTTAAAAATATCCACAATCGTTATCATAATTTGAGGAGGAGTCCTTTTAGGTGCCTTCTCTTCCAGAAGTGACTTGTAGTCCCTGAGAAGTAATCTCTGGAGGGTGCAGGTCCAGGAGAGCTGCCCTGTCTGCAAACCTCTGGAACTTCTGCCTACCTGAGCGCATCACATTGACAACTACACATTCTCCGAGGCTGACCTGCCTGTGCTATTATTTGCAACTTTAAAGGCCATGGATTGGTGTCCCTGGCAGTCTGCAGTCCTTGCTGTTGGAGGAGGAATGAAGGACGGATGCTTACGCATCTTGGATTTAAATGCTGGGAAGAGCATCCAGACCCCAAGCACAAACTCACAGGTGAAGGTCTCCCCTGGAGTTCACTTTTATTCCAGTTTTCTAGAATTTTATAAAAATAATTTATGATAGAACATAGGACCCAAAGACTCCTCTCTTGGCCTACTGAATCCATAAGGAATATCAGTTCCCAAGAGTTTCTTTTTTCTATAATCTCTTCATCTGTGAGACCAAAGTTAATTTAATTTGTGTTTCCTTTTTTTCACATTTCCCTTCTTTCTCACCGCTGCTTTGACTGTGAAATTTGAGAATAGTCTGGCTATTCCTGGCCAATGACCACAGTTCACTTGAATTCTTTAGTTCATTGCGCCTAAGCCTATTTGTACACTTGGCCCTTTGTTGCCTTGGGATAAACTTTCCTAGAACTAATATAATTCCCATAACACCCTAACCCCACTGTACTGGAGGATGGGTTATGGACAGAGCTTACTGCCTACAATCAGTTAAATTACATTCATAATGAATCGGAAATTGCCATGTTCTCTATTTTTTGGTCATTATTACAGATTTGTTCCTTAATCTGGCTACCTAAGACAAAGGAAATTGCAACTGGCCAAGGTGCTCCTAAGAATGATGTGACTCTGTGGACCTGTCCCACTCTGTCCAGGTCAGGTGGGTTTTTTGGTAAGTAAACGGTGAGTAAAATGCTATGCCCCGATAGAAAAATGAGCCAGTGGAGGGAAAAGTCCCAAATGAAAGATTTTCTCCTTCTGGTTCTTTGAAGTATATATTTCATCAGAGGAAAAAGTCCTATGCCCAATATGCCTCATAGAGTGTATATTAATAGATGAATGTTTCTGAATTTGACTAAGATTGCTCATCACTCAAAACTGTCAAATCTGCTCTTCCTCACATATGTGTATGAATGATGCAGTGGGGATCTTGAGTAGTTTTTGAGCTGTGTTTTTGAACTCTGGAGTAAGCATCACAAACCATCTTACTGTGAAGGAAAGCCAGCAGTGCCAGCACATGTGGAGGACAGGGGGACCTGAAAGGGCGAGACAGTGTTACATGTGGGGAAGCCACTGCCGGCAGTGAGACTTCCCCTGTGAACCCCGCCCTCGTGAGGCAGACCGCTGGTCTTCCTTGCTTAGTCCTACAGACTTGTTCTGGATGCTTCTTGAGAGAAAGACCTCATGATGGGGAACAAGACCCAGGCTCTCCCTGGGGTCTTAAATCCTCTTAAGTGCCATCTGGAATGTCAAAGGTGGCCCAAGGGTGAGTGGGCATCTCCTCCCTAGCCCGGGAAACAGGAAGAGAGAAGTGGTGGTTGATGAAGGAACAGAGCCCTGACATCCAGTCTCTTGTAGACTCTGATTCTATATCCTGTCTTCTTCCCCTCTCCACTCACCTGGCCTCCTGGTCAACCCCTGTGATTTATTTATTCATTATCTACTTATGAAGCATGCACTATTATATATGCCAGGCACTTTTTGGGGTACTGGAGACACACAGGTGAATGAGAGAGACAATGTCCTTGCCCTCTTAGAACCTATGCTTCTGTGGCAGGAGATATACTGGAAACAAATATATACAATTTTAGGCAGTGATAATACCACAACTCTCTTCGGAGATTCTGAGAATGTTATTTGGCACCAAAAAAACACCCTTCTCAGATAGACTTCCTTCCTCTGCTGGTGGACCTCTGGTCAGCTGTGACATTGTGTGGTATGGTAAATAAGAACATAGGCAGGTCTTGACAGAGCCACTTTGGTGGCCAAGTATAGGTAGGTGTAGGAGGAGCGTAAGTTGATACTTTCCATGTTTTTAATCATAAGACATGCAATTCCCTGGACCTTTTCAAGTTAGAGAAATATTTTAAATTAAGCCTTAAATCCTGGGTTCCTCAAAAAACTACAATTCCAGTAGCTAGGCAGGACCTTGAGCTAGGTAGGGGCATGTGACAGATATTCGAATCATTTGGCTGATGCTTGGAATTGAGAATGAAGAATGTACTCAGCAGGTGCATTGCCTGCTTCTCTGGACTTAACATACTTTTAGTTTTAACTTCTTGTGAAATTTTTTCATTAATATTAGACAGAATTTCAAAGAGAACAATTAACCTTTTCTCCTCTTAAAACATTTATGGTTGAAGATGAGCTTACGTTCGAGCTCTTAGGTGCTAATTTCCATCTCTAACCCAGTAGTTTCTCCTACATACAGTATTTCCCGAAAGTGTCTAGCAGGATGGTTGTTATAAAAAAAGTCACGTGGTCAGATAAGTTTGGAAATTCTGGGTTGAACAAGAACAGATTTTATTTCTTTAGGACTTTTCAAAGGCTTGGATGTATTCGTATTATGTACATTGTACATCTGCAAGAGAAGGTTATAGCATTCAGCGTTTCCCAAACACAGTTGGGGAATCTTTTGTAGGGGGGCACTTGAGGTGCATGTTCCATGAGCACACTTTGGGGAGCATTGCTGTGTGGCATGGGACTGCTCAGTATTTAATTCCCACGTGTTTTCACTGTGAGTCCATGTGTCCACTGTGGGTGAAGGACAGCACTCTGGACGTCCACCCTGGTGACTGAGGTCTGGATCAGGTCTTCTAAATGGGGGGTTGTGACCCAGTGGATTATGAATGTAGTGAGTCAAGATCAGTATTAAAAAAATGAAATAGAATCCTATAGAATGAAAAAAATGGAAAAGTAGGTATTATTTTGTGAAACTTTTACTCTAATTATATAGTACCTATATGTGCGTACATATGGGTTTGCTACATAAAATGTAGTTTTGACTGTGGGTTGTGGTCAAAGAGTTTGGAAAAAGGCTATTCTAGATTCTGGTCATACCTTTACTAAGCCTCACCCTGTTAACCATAGTCATGATTCTCTGGGGGAAAATTTCAGTTAAAGAGGTCTCACCCACCTGACTACAGAAGAAAGGTAACTTATAATTTTTCCCACTTACTAAAGAATTATATTAATAATTTCTCAGCTTTCCAACAGGAGTACATAACTTCCTAGCTTACTGGTGAGATCTGGCCTTTGACTTGGTTTCGTCAGTTCATGGCACCTGTATCAATATGTAGTCTCATGTGGGACTATAGCTGCGTAAAGAAAACAAAACTTTCAACGCTTTCAGTGACAGTATTCTCGGAACTTGGAAATGTAAACCCTAAAAAAGAAACTTTGTCTGAGATAAAGATGGCATTTCCCATTATTAGTAAGTTAAGATCATCAATGTGACAGAAGAACTTCAAGAGTGGCTTTACTTCCTATCCAAATGCCATTTTCCTAAAAAGTTATAGAAGTAGCTATACAATTTTTAATTCAAGATAGTTTTCAAAGCATGCTTTAGAAAAAAATTAGGATTATTTTTCCTGTTATTTCTTTTTCCTCTTTCTCTTCTTCATTTTAACATAAAAGAAATAAGACATATTTATCACCCATTATATTTATTAAATAGTGTTTTCTTTCTTAGGTTTAATTTAAAAGCATTAGTATAATGTTCTATATTTATCCTTTTTTTTTTTGGAGTGCAGTGGCTATTCACAAACTCGGTCATAGTCCACTAAAGCTCTGAACTCCTGGGCTCAAACAGTCCTCCTGAGTAGCTGGGACTACAGGTGTGTGCCACTGAACTTGGCTTCTGTTTATCCTTTTAAAACAACTAAATCCAGTTGCTTTTCATTTTTTTAAAAAAAATAATGGATAGTGGCCTTCAGTAAAAAAGAGATTATTGTTCTGAGTTTGGAGCATGGTCTAAATGGTTAGAGCATTGAATTGAATCCTAGTTCTGGTTCTGTCATTAATTCGCTGGGTGACCTTGGGCATAGACATTTGATATCTCTAAATCTGTGTCTTCACCTATAAAATCAGGGGGCTGCATTTTATCTATGAATCTAAACTTCTTTATGTACCAACACATCCAGGGCCAATCCAATGTCCCCTTGGGGGCACCTCTTACTGGTGTGTGTGCACATAGGAGAGCACTGGGAGTCATGTGTGTAGATGGAGAAAGCCTCCAAGTGTCTAAGATATGTCTCCTTCAGGAGTGGAATAGTGTTTTTACACTCCTTTCTGCTGAGAACCTTGTATTAGAGTACAAGATCATTTCTGAAATTCCAGCTCTCAACTGAGTTGTGAGCAGTACGGGTCCTCTGAGGAGCTGACCACCCATCTTGTTCGATTTTAGTTGTGCCCCCAAATATCTACCCATTCAAAATCTTATCTGACCTCCTTCCCGCCCATATTCTCCTACTCCCAGCCTCGTTTCGGGGAGTCAGCTTCATCTATTTTGCCCTAAAGTTTTCAGCAGTAAAGTCACTGTTGGAATAGGCCAGGTTTTGCAAACCATTTTCCAAGGAACACCAGTCCCTTGAGATGCTCAAGTCAAAAGGACACTGTGGTCAAATCAGTCTGAGCAGTGGTGCCTTTTGTGGCCTCATCTCCAAAACGTTTACAATGCATGCAGTAGTCTTAAATAAAGTCCTAAAATAAAGACGTGCCGAAATAAGGAAATGTGTTCAATTTTCTTAACCCAAAGCTCCCAAATTAATGTGAACATGAAATACTCTTTTCATTTTTAATACCTATTAACCTCATGTAGAACTGGTGTAAGACAACAGGAAGGGTATTGTCTGTAGAATTTTCTAAGCGAGACTCACATGTGCTTTGTGGGAGAGCTTTTTAGGTCTTTTTTCATTAGGCTGCATCAGTTTGTTTGATTAGTTCCCTGAAACCTGGGTCCTAAGGGGATGGCTTTTGGGGGAGGGTGGGCTGGGTGCCAGGAGCACAGCTCTGGCATTCCTGGCTGCGGGTGGATTAGAGAGGACAGGACTGAGAACAGTGTGGGGCATGAGTAGTGTAGAAGACTGAGAAATGGTCTCCCAAAACATATCCACGTCAAATCCCTGGAACCTAGGAATGGGACCTTATTTGGAAAAGTTACATTTCCAGATGTAATTAAGTTAAGGATCTTGAGATGAGATCATCCTGGATTATCCAGCTGGGCCCTAAATCCAATGACAAGTGTCCTTATAAGAGACACACAGAGAACAGACACACGCAAGAGGAGGCGATGTGACCACGGAGGCAAAGACTGGAGTGACGTGGCCACAAAGCAAATATTGCCAACAGCTGCCAGGGACCAGAAGAGGCCAGGCACAGAGTTCCCTCTAGAGCCTCCCGAGGGAGCGCAGCCCTGCGGACCCCTTGATTTCAGACTTCCCAGCTCCAGAACTGTGAGAGAATCCATTTCTGCTGTTTTCAGCCGCCCAGTTTGTGGTCCTTTGTTATGGCAGCCACAGGATGCTGGTAGGGTTGGGGGTGGGGGAAGAACCCTGAAGGGGAGACACTGAAGAGACCCCTCAGCCACAGGAGAGTGCGCCCCAGCCAGCGCTGACTGGTGTGTGCCAGCAGGGCTCAGGAGGAGCGGGCTCTGAACCTGCTGGCTGTGGGAAGGCCTTTATCCTGGGACAGCAACAGCCCTTGTCATGCGGAAGGAATATGAACTGTCTTTCCCTCTTCCCGCAGGCCACGGAGGCAGAGTGCTGCACCTGGCTTTGAGTCCAGACCAGACCCGGGTGTTTTCTGCTGCAGCTGATGGGACAGCCTCTGTGTGGACTTGCTAGTAGTCACCCAGCCCTGCTAAGTTTGTCTCCTTGTTTCTAAGTGAGGATAATAACGTTGGCGTGTCTTCTCCATGGGACTGTCATGAGCACTGAGCAAGACGCAGTGCCCTTCCTGATGTGAATGCGCCTTCTCATCTTCTTGCTAGGTTACTTTGTTCCCTCCGCTTCCTCCCATTGCGTTTCCCAGAGACTGTCTTTGACTTCTTTTCTTCTCTCTCTGCTCTCCTCCTCCTCTTCCTCTTCTTCCTCTTCTCTCTCTTTCAAGACTCATCTTCATGTCTTTATTCAGAATAATATCTATAGCAAAGGTTTCTACTTTTTCCCCATCTGACTTTTCTCCCAAACTCCAGCCTCATATTTCTGACTGCCTCTGGATATTTCCTTTTGAGATCCTTTCCTGGCTTTAGCTCAATCTCAATACATTGAAAACACAACTCATTCACTCAAAAAACACTTATTAAATTCCTACTGTCACTCAGGGAGCCTCCTGATTACTCTGCTCCATGCGCCTCGGTTCACCCCATGCTCTTTTCTTTTGTTTCTCCTAGTCATGTCCTGAGTACCTGATGGCCCATCTGTTGTAACTGCCTCCTAGCTGGTCCTCCTGTCTTTAATCTTTGGTCTCACACCACCGCTGGGTCAAGCCTCTAAAAGCATAGTGCTGATCCTCAGTGCCCTGCTTATAAACTCAGTGACACCCCGTTACCTAAACCCTTTGGCCTCCATCTCTGGAGTCCTGAGCCCAGGACCTGGAGTTCAGGGACTTGCTCTTGCCTTGGATCTGCCATAAACAGGCTGTGTAACCTTGGATGTGTCGCAGCATCTGCGAGAATAGGAATTTGGATTTGATCACTGCTAAGGTTCCATCAGGCTTGATCAGTCCACTGCTCTGTCTTGTTAGTGTTAATCCCCGCTCATCTCCTACATTAACCTTTGGCTAAGTCTGGTGATTTCTTGCCTTGATACCTTTCTTGGAGCTTTTCTTCTAATCTGGAATTCTTGCTCCTCTCTCCCTTTTCTTTACACATCTGTACAAGTCCTAACCTCTCTAGGAAGTGTTTTGAGATGATGTTACCTGGGTTTGAATTCTTGGCATTAGTCTGTATCACCTATTTGATATTAATATACTATCGTAGTTGTTTTAAAAAATATTTTATTACTGTGTGAATCTCTGGTTATTCTGGTTTTAACATGTTTGTTATGGGAGTTCAGGGAGCATGCATTATACTTTTTCATGCTTCTTAGAATGTTTTGTACATGCCAGATAATAAATACTGGTTAATTTTTCTTTTTGCTTTGTCATAAAACATGTTTTACCAATCTATACCCATTCCCTTATGCCACCCAAATCCATAAAACAAAACAAAAGCTTTGATAATTCAAAAGTGGAATAGTATATACAAGGGGAATTAGAACTCTTCTGTAAATTAGTGTTAATTTGTCAATGAATTTTTTTTCTTTGCCCTGTTTTTTAAATTTAGAAAATCTGCTTGGTAGTGCTAGTAATTTTTATTTTAGAAAATTTTAGGCAACTGAAAGCTATAAATGTGATACTTTTCTGCAATGCGCATTCTTCTTTAAGCTAATGGTTTTAATTTGCTCTTCTTAATTAGCCAGCTATAAACTCTAGCAAAATGTTTAGAAGAAAATGAGCAAGATGATTAGATCATTTCCAGAGTCCCCCACCATTCTGTTCTGGGGACTTCTGTCTTAACACTCTCATGACACTGTATCATGATCAAAGGCCACGTCTCTCAGTACTGCTATGTGAACAAGGGGCTCTCACTTAAGAAAAATATTAATGTATCTTTTACCTACTATTAGTTTTGATGGGAAATTTGGGATACGGTTCTCATAAAGAAAAAAAAATAAACTTCCAGATAATACCCAAAACAGAAGCCTTGAATACAACTGATTTTTTAATTTTGTAATTTAAAAATTTTTATTGAGTAATAATTCACATGAAGTACATAAACCTTAAGTTTATAGCTTTTAAAATAGATTTTTAAATAGATAACCATGTAACCACCATCCAGATCAAGACATGAACATCTCTTGCACCCTAAAAGGATCCCTTGTGCCTACTCCCAGTCGACACTCCCGTTATTCTACCCTCTGTAACCATGGATTGGTTTTTCCTTATGCCAACTTTAGATAAATTGAATCATACTGAAATGGAAGATTGGAAAATTCCACTAAAGTGGAATTCTTAGAAATTCTAATTCTACTACCGAGCTTTCTCCCTTGCGATCCTCACCTGGGCCCCCTCCTCCCCTGCGCCACCCCCCCTCCACCACAGCCACCCTCATAAATCACCTGTAGCAATTAGTGTACCAGGCTGTGAAGTAACTTAGGACACTGCCTCACTAAAGTTAACCCTGTTGTAATCGTGCCCCTCCTCCTTAAGCAGAGTATATAAAAGACTGCAATGCTCTTTGGTGTTCAGAATTTGGGGATAGCAAAAATCCCTCTGGGCCTGCCGGCGAAAAAGTATGAAACCTGTTTTGCCGGATCTCTGAGTGTGCGTCTCGGTCTATTCTCAGTCAGCCCTGCCTTAACAGTACCATTTATATTTCTTTTTTGTCTCACTTCTTTTACTCAACATTGTGTTGCACATAACTATAGTTTGTTTTTTTCATTTCTATGTAATATTTTATTGTATGAATGTATAACAATTGTTTATCTGTTTTATTGTGGATGGATATTTATTTCCAGTTTTGACTTACAACAATAGAGATGCTGTGCACATTCTTGAACACATCTTTGGTGGACAAAAGCACTTACTGCTGTTTAGTATACACCCAGGAGTGGAATTGCCAGGTCATAGAATATGTGGATGTTGAGTTTTAGTGGACACCACCAATTTTCCTAAGAAGTTGTGCTAATTTAAACTTTCACAAGCAATGAATGAGGGTTCCATACAACTACCTTTGAAATGGAGTTCAAAATCTGTAATAAATATTGCTAATAGGGAATATTCCATCCTTTTACTGTAGTTAAAATCCTAACTAGGAATTAGAGATTATAGCAAATATCTAAAATATCATCCTAGTGACTCTCTTTGGGCCTCTCTTTTAGATATTAGCACCAGACCTCACTTTGCAGTATAAGGGTTCTCATCCCTGACAGTATATTAGAATCACTGGGGAGCTGATATAAAAAGTACTACATCCAGAGTCCCACCAAATACCATTTAAATCAGAATCTCTAGCGGTGAGGTCTGGGCATTGGTAATTTTAAAGAACTTGGTGAGTCTAATTGTTGTTAAAATCACAAGGGGCTTTTGGCCTGGGTTCAGTTGCTCAACACACAAAAGATTCAATTATTGAGACAACCAGGAATGCCAGGAAGAAAGGAATTTTTAGTAGGACAGATCTGTTGGGAGAATGTGAGAAGCTGTCTGAAATCCCACTGCCTGACTAAAGGAGATCAAGTGCTTTTAAAGGTGTGGCCACGTGTCTTGGGGCAGGGCCGGTGGAGGTGTAACTAACAAGGGGCTGGGTGCATTGAGGGCAGGTTGTGGGGGAGGTGAATCTTGGCTCAGGAAGTCTGCCCAGCAGCCTTCAGAATGTTAGCTCCTGGCCAGGGGAGGTGGCTCACGCCTGTAATCCTAGCACTCTGGGAGGCCGAGGCAGGAGGATTGCTTGAGGTCAGGAGTTGGAGACCAGCCTGAGAAAGAGCAAGAGCAAGACCCCATCTTTACTAAAAATATTAATAGAAAAATTAGCCGGGCATTGTGGCGTGTGCTTGTAGTACCAGCTACTCAGGAGGGAGGCTGAGGCAAGAGGATCCCTTGAGCCCAGGAATTTGAGGTTGTAGTGAGCTATGATGACACCACTGCACTCTACCCACTGCACTTCTCACAACGGTACAGAGGGAGGCCCTGTCTCAAAGAAAAAAAAGAATGTCAGCTCCTTTGTCTTGCAGAAAACCCACCATTTCTGAGAAGCAACTCAAAAGGTCAAGTAGAAGGGAGAGGATTATAAAAAAACATATAGGGATTATTGAAATTTGTTCATGGGGCTAGTTACATAATGAGCAGCCATGGTTGAAAGCCAATGTACTAGTATTTTAGTCAGTTTTTAAGCTATGCTCCTTCCTTCATCTTAAGAGGCTGTCTCTTGGTGTTGTATGTTCTTGGTTCGGATGTATATTATGTATGTATATGTGTGTATGTGTATATATGTGTATATACATATATATGTGTGTATATATAAAATATATATATGATATATATAAAAAATTGGTATTCCTAAAGGGACTGATAGAAATGGAAGGAATCTGTTCATATAATCATATCTTGAAGTGACTGCTGGGCTGATAACTATCTACTAAATTCAATATGCTTAAAAAACCATTTGGGAGGCTTTTTCCAAAGAAAATATTCTGGACACAATTCAACACTCCCTCCCTACTATGGGATGGCAGCCACTGTGATCACCACATTGATTGGACCTACTCAGGCTTGAGGACAAGGAGAACTGAGAAACCACCTAGGTAGTCCAAGGCTTAAATGTAAGGTACTGAGAAAGAAGGCTGACTTGCTTTTGTATGATTTTCTTGGCTGGCCAAGCACTTTATTTGTATCCCCCAGAATTTTAATTTCTATTCCTTGCCTGCCTTTGGAAAATACGGTAAAGTATTTCTTGTTTCTATTTGTCCCATAGACTCAAGTTCTTGCTTGAATAGCAAGCGTTGATGTGGAACAATGGCCTTGGAAGGACAGACGGTTTCTTTCAATCCAAATGCTCCAGACTGGCTGTTTCTGTCTCCTGCATAATTGCTGAGCCCTTTACTGTACTTATTATTAGACGACCCGAACTTAGAGTCACTCGCACTGGGCCCCATGGTAGCGAGGTGAATAATTCGGGAAGGATTCCCATGTCACTTGACACATGGATGACACTGGGACATTGGTTCCCTTAACCTCCCCTTTGCATTATCCACAGGGTTGCCATATGATTCTGCTTCACTTTGCCAGTGGAGATCTATCTGACCACAAAAGTTATAGGAGGAAAACAGGTACAGTCACACAAAATGATTTCACACAAAATGATTTTACTTCTGAAAAGACAAAGAAGTGACAGCAAATGAAACAAAATGCAGTTATCTAAACTGCCCGTTTCATAGTCTTGATTATCCAGTTGAGGTGTTTCTTTGAGAGAAGAGTATAGACTCCAGGCCCCCGAGGGTTTCCGCATTGCTGTGGAAGGCCAAAGGCAGTGATGCCTCGGGGAACACCCCCACATACCAAAGGGCTCCCAGAGTCTCCCTGGGGGAAAAAAGAGGGTGGGGTGAGGTCAGTGTCAAGCATTAACCTGAGCTAAATGGAAGACATGCTGCAGCCTTGAATGTGGAGTTAAGACCAAACTTGACAATTAAAAATTAGTGCTTAAAAAATCAAAATGTTTGGAAATATTTTAATATTTTTGAATTGGCTCACCGGTTTATGAACCAGTGAAACTTGTTTATGTTGTCCACTAATTTTGAGACTGATTCTCTGCTTTCCGAAAGGAAAGCTTCCTGTTTATCTGTCATTTTCTCAAAATGCTTAGTAACACAAGGGGTAAAATAGTCAAATGCAGATGGTATATTGAGGCAAATGTTAAAAACAATGTTTTCTGGTTCCTCCAGCAGATTCTTTTCTTTCCAAAGAAACAAAACCAAAGCAATCCCTTTCAGGCAAAAGTTAGCCTTACGAATGTAGGAAATTAATGTAGGGATAAGGCAGAAAAAGAAGGTCAAGAGAGCCTAAGTGCAGACATTTTGGCCGATACCAGACCGTAGGCACCCTGAGCAAGGAAGTCGTCAGCAGGTCACTGGCCCGGGACCACCCAAGGATGGATGAATTACTAAGCCGATGCCTTACAAACTGTTTATGCTTACCCTTCCATGACAGCAGTTTATGATTAACCTTTATGGCCTGACCACAAGTTTTTGAACGTATAAAAATGTTACCATTGTCCCATAAGGGGGTCCTCCTCTGCTTGGGAAAGGACCTCTACTCTGTCTGTGGAGTAGGATCTATTATTGTCTGTCTTTCTCTCAATAAACTTCCTTTGCTATTTGGCTCACTCTTGAATTCTTTCCTGTGCGAAGCCAAGAACCCACTTGTCGAATTCAGGGGGCTTTCCTCCCTTCATTGGGACACCCCCTGCATCAAAATAAGGAACCATCTGAGAACCTGGGGTCCTCCCTGGACAGGTATATTTCTCCTGCCTGTTATAGTGCCTGGCATTTGCAGAATTAGTCCTTTAGGTTTAATTCATCAATAGCCAATTCCAGGGCTATTGAGAGGACAGGGAAGGATCGCTAAGCTTCAGTGGTAGGGGTGGCTGGTGGGAGGGGACTAGCATCTTGGGACGCTGCCATGGCTTCAGCATGCTGTACACGGCTTCCAAAAGCATGAAGGTTCTGGCTTCCTTCCTGGGTGCCTAGAGTGGTGGATAGGGGAGGGAAGAGGTGAAGGAGGGCAAAGAAGAGAAAGTAGAAGGTGCTGAAGACAAATGTCATCTTTTTCTGGGCTTTGGCTAGTTTTGGTCCTGAAGGCAAGACATAGTTTCAGGGAAGAACAGAGAACTTTGGATCTCTCAATCTCTAATAACTCGCAGACCGTGCACACTGCACACTCCTTCTCTTCGGGTAATAATACTCTATAGGATCTTTAGGAAAAATGAGAAATGACAAGGTAATATTCAGAGCTTAAAAATCTGTGAAATGTTTCTTCTACTTTTGCCTTTAAGTAGAGCCCTGTCCCACCCTTCTCGGGGGACTCTGGGATGGAGGCTTGCACATTCTCTAGTGTGAGTCATATTTGGAAGTTGTTTACTGGGGATTAAGCTAAATTCTAGGAAGCTATGGAATCTGGCCTGAGGTCCTCAGCCAGAGGAGGAGGTGCACTGAGAGGGGAAAGGGTACTGAAGGCCCTTGAGGACTCCTGACTTCAGCTCTTCTGAGTTTGTATATCTTCAAGTTTGGATCTCTATATGTTAGTATGAAAAATGATAAAAAAAAAAAACCCATTGCTTCTCAGTGGTTTTTGATATAAAATCGGGAAGATATAGGTCAACTCATACACTAGCAGTGAACTTCTTATTTTTGATTAATGACTCACTTGAGCCGAGCACATTAATTTACTTGACTGGGATTTTGTCAACCTTCTTCCAAAAAGCTCTAGGATCCTGTAGAAGCCAGTGCCATGACAAGACAAAGCATGGCGCTACATTTTTTGTACCTGTGTGACTTACTCCAACAGCTAAAATGTGGGATCTTATTTTACTTACATTACATGAGTCTTTTCCACCATTTTGGCTTCCAGCACAAAGCATATTCTGTCCAATCACAGGATTAAAATTATAATGCTTTTGATCATTGCAGATTTTTCTGTCTATGATGGTGACGTTGACTTCTTGCAGAGTATCAGATGGAGGGGACCTGTTGCGAATCTTCCCCCACCCTGCAACTCGACATATGGTTCCTGGTTTCACGTCAACTCCCGTTTTAGGTAGACGAATGATAGCCACATTTTTGTTAATTATTGCTTTTTTGTGCAGCTGTTGGAAGACAAGCATAAAGAATTAATAGGATGAGATAAATATTAACCTTTTAACTTAAATTCTAGCCCAAACTTCAGGGTACCCTTATGTGAGTTTGTAACAATAGGGGCACTGATAGAAGGTTTTTATGTAGGTGGGCAGATTGTAGGAGGTTCTATGATTTTCAAGAAGACAATTAAAGGTACATACCTGTAAAAGTTTAAGATCACCCTCATGTGTGTCCAGGTCATAGCATGGGAAGGGAAACTCTTTCTTAACGAACATTATCTGTTTTTCTGGCTCCTTATTGGTTTTTGAGTGAGCCCCAAGAATGACCTGGGACTTTTTATTCCTGAGAACAGACACAACGCTATTTACTGGGTTCATTCTTTTAATTAGGAGCTGAGCATATTATGTGCTGATCAGTTTCATTGTCCCATTTGTAAATATGGAGATAGAGATACTTTTTGTAGCTCAGAAAGAAAATGTGTGCTTTCAAGAGTGAAAGTAATATGTTTATGAATGCATTCTCATTCTCATTCTCGCCACCATCAGCTTATTTATAAAGAGCTAAACTAGGTTCATTGAAAAACAAAGGAGAGGATAACATGGCAGCAAAGCCAAGTCTTGAGCTTTTCTCCCCACTCCCCCTTGTTTAGCTGCGATGGAGAACACTAGAAAACAAAGGTCTCAGTAGTCCAGAGACAGAAGCCAAAAGCAGTGGATAGTTCTAAAGTAGTGCACTGAAGGGATCTTTGTAAGAGAACAACAAACTCATCTTGAATGGGAAAACTTTCAGAAACAGATTGGTCAGTGGAGGACCCAATTTGCATGGTTTTGAGTATGTATATGCTGGGGGGACAGTGGTCTAAGGAGGGGTTCAAGAGTCTTTCTTTCTCTTACTCCATGCTAAAGGTTCATTTTGATTAACAAAATTAAAATGCTCTGTGATGTACTAATGATTAAGGCTATCATCATTCACAACCTAGTACGAACTACACCAACCAGATATTCATGCTGCTGTTTTTCCATGACACTAGTGGAGCCTAGTCTCACTTAAGACAAGATATCACATGGGCCTCTCAAATATGTACAACTGTTATATATCCATAAAAATAAATAACTTAATTAAAAAATAAAAGAAAAAGACATTAGAACAGTGCTTTCCAGTGGATCACACTTTGATGGTGAAACATCCTATAAATATTCACTGTCCATTATGGTAGCCACTAGCCACACATGACTACTGAGGACTTAAAAGCTTGCCTACTGTGGCTGAGGAAGTAAATTTGAAATTTTATTTAACTTTAATTTAAATTTATATAGCTACATGTAGCTAGTGGCTATCATATTGGACAGCCCAGGTTCAGAGGCTTGATTTAGGGAGTGGAGAAAAGATCAAGACTGGGAAGAGGTTTGAAGGTTGACAGGAGGGAAGAGCTGGCTGAAGGTGTGAGAGGAAGTCACTAAGGGCTAAGGCAGGCATTGGAAACGAGCTCTCTCTACTTGACGGTTGTACCCAGGCCTCTGAGGGGGCACTGAAAGTTTTACCCTTCCATGTTGTGGCTAATTCTATTTGGTCACGCAGTCATGACCAGAAGCAAAGTTTTGCAGCACCTGTGCCCGATGGCTCTAGCTGACGTACAGAAAGGGCTCGTGGGTGCTGCTTCCTCATTGGCCTGATTCTTTGTGACAAGTCTGGGCTTAAGTTCTTTTGGGCTAAAGCAAGTGCCCAGAGACTTAGTGATGTAAAAATACATGTGAACCTCTTGTGATTTTAGTGGGATTTACACTTTTTATTAATGTTTTCCCAAATTATAATATCTTCACAAACATTTTTTTAAAAACTCAGGCACTTACAGTTGACAGTGAGCTGCAGTCAATACCCAGTCTCGTGCAATCAAAGCGCCAGCACAGATGTTATCTTTGCTAATGTTAAGTAGGACCATGTAGGGTCTTGAATGAGGAATTACTTCATGTCCTCCAACAATTTTCACACAGGCATCTGTTTAATAGAAAAAGGCAAATCAGATTGGTGCCCACGCCAAAGAGCTTGCTATAGAACCATGTTTGCAAGACTGGTCATGCTGTTCGTGCTTGGAGATGAAGCCTGGATGACAGCATTTTCCCCTCCTTTTACTCGATGTAGACCTTCGGACATCTGAATGTCAATCCTATTCCTGTTGGACTCTGAGACGATCTTGCTCTTCTGCCCACAGAAGCGATGCCATTGGCCGTTCCTTTTCACCCCAAGCCCTTGCAAAATCGCAGCTTACAAACGGATATCAGCACCTTTTAGCTCTGACCCTACCATGAGTCCTTTGGTTATTGTGAGAATTTTGGTTATTAAACTGCACTGTCCTCACTTGTAAATTGAGAAAATAACATCTATCACACCTCAGGCTCCCTGGCAGTCTCCAGACAAAAGCAAATGGTTTAATCCAGGGTCTTTTCCAATGAGGTAGGGGAAGGGAGGAGGGAAGATGTTAAGAGTAGAGAATTCTGCCTTAGTAAAATTTCCTTTATGATAGACTGGGAGTAGAGACCCATTGTTAGAGAACAAGGAGAACTAGATAGAGGTAAATCACATGCTGGTGGAGAGGACCTTGTGTCTTTGGGATATACTCTCAGCTCTCCACTTTCTACACCAGATGTTCTTGGATTCTCCTAAAATATTTCCCCCCACCATCAGCTGAAGTTCATGTTTTCTTGATCACGGCACAGTGCCTTCTATTCCATCATTAAGGCTAACTCACTGCCAAATTCACGGAAAGATGTGAATGAAAATGAAAGAGGGACCACAAGGTCTCTGCTTTCCAGAAGGGAGCCAGGAGGGAGAAATTCTAGACTCTAGAAATAAAAAGGTAAGGAATTTATAGAAACCAAAACAACTTCACTCACATCCCAATTTTTCCTAGGGTGAGTCATATATAGATAGATTACAAAGGTGCATTTTGGGGCTTTCTGGGCTTCAGAGTTCATAAACCCAATAAAACACTCCCTTTTGCAGAGTTCTGTTTGTTTGGTGAGCACATTTACCCACCTCAGAAATAAGTCCACACTTCCTGCAAACAACCACAACTTAGAAGGGTCTGGGCTAGGGTTTGGAGTAGGTGGGAAGCTTTTAAAAACTAGAAATTCCTGGTCCCTACCAAGAATTAAATCACAATTTCTGAGGTTGGAGCTACAATGTCAGTATTTTTTCAAAGTCCCCAAGATTATTCGATTGTGTAGGAAGCTGAGAGCACTGGCCCGGAGCGCCCAGCTTTGCTTGGCTGTTGTCTGATCCCTTTAGGGACCCACATTGCTCTCTCTGAACGCAGGAAACAAAAAGGAGCAGAGCAACTTGCCTTTGTTGTTTCCTTTGAAGCAAAGATATGGTTGGCTTTTTCATCTGCTCTGTTTTCACTGTTATGGAAGATTTAATATACCTGAATATAGTCATACAATGCCATGCTTACAACATGCCTACCCTTTCTTCCAAATGTCTTACAGCCTTGTTATTTTAACATTTCTTCTCATTTTTAGGTGCAAGATAAACCAGAGAACTTCTTTGGGAATTCCTGGCAAGATAGGTTATTACCTAAGCCAGGGGTCTGCAACCTAAGGTGAGTTGTATAATTATTTCATTATATATTATAATGCAGTAATAGAATAATAATAGAAATAAAGTGCACAATAAATGTAATGTGCTTGAATCTTCCT